AATTTAAATTCAAATAAGAATCCTGACATTAAAAAGAAATATGAACTGGAAATTGCTTCAGATTCACATTATAATCTCTCACTACTCACTAGGAGTCACCATTAGACAATGTCACTAAAACTGATTTTGGATACCATGATCTTCAGTTTATTTGATGACAAGGTCACTTGGTGAGCCCAAACAGAATAATGAGCAAGGAAAAGATTTTGGAGTAAAATGTGAGCCTGAACCATAGGGTGTGTACTAAAACAAGTAGACAAACCAAGCCCAAGTGGCTGGTTCAAAAGAGTAGCCATTAGAGTGAACATGGAAAGCAGCTAGCTCTCTGGTCTGTTTCCGGCAACAACACCATGGGGAAGGCTTCAATTTTGTGGAAGCCCGCCGTCGGAGAGTCTGGTGGTCTCGGAGGAGGGCGCAAGCAAGAAAGGGAAAGAAGATTCCCTTCTAGCAACAATTTCCTTCCTTGAAACCCAAATAACAATTCTGTCAAAAGAAAAAGAGAGGACAAAAATTTGAATTTGGGCTGTATAGCAACAAGCAATCCACAAAATGAATCTGGGGATGAAGAAAAGAAGTGCAAAAAGATCGGGATTTAGTCTGTCACAACCGCATGGCCACCCCAGCCGGATTGAACAAAGCGGGATCGATCCTCTATACTGCTCTAATGGTCCCCCATTAGACAATAGTCTGATTCCTGTTTCCTTATTAACCAAGGAATCAGAGGTACGAGCGCATGGGACAAATCCTGTTCAAGTAAAATTGTGTCAGCTCATTCCAGCCACGCCTTATAAATACTTTTCATTTTTCTACTTCTTTGTCGATGTGGGACGCTTTAAATACCACTTCGTATAGACTATGTAGTATTTTCTTTTAAATACTACTTAATATAGACCGTAGTATTATTCAAATATGTTTCAAGTGGGGGAATATGCATCTAATTAAGTTCTTTCTCATGTTCTGATATGTTTAATCAAGTGAGATGCACCCTCGTCATACATGATCATGGGGCAGCAAATTGTGCTTCTATGCTCTAGTCTACCACACATGGAAAGAAAGGAGTGCTAGAATCTTCGTCGGAATTTCTCTTCTCAGAGTTCTCTGTCATGACCAGAATGTCCAACTCCATCACTGTGTTGCCACTCGTTGCATCCTTTTTGACTCGGATCACCCTCCATCGTTCTGCAGAGCTCGTCCACGGCCTTTGGATTGATGAATTGTTGGCTCATTTACCCGATAGATTGTATTTGCTTTAATTTGGACACTTTTTGTTCAGTTTTTTAAATTGGATCTTTCATTTCGAGTTAACGAACCTCCTAAATCCATTGATCAAATGATTATTATTTTAAATTATTCAATTGGTTTTCTCTTCCTCCCAAGAACAGAAGCTATCTGAGATCTGGGGCCACCCATTCGCCACTTTTTAAATGCTGCCATTGAGGATGTACACTGCAAATTCAAAAACAATGAGATCAATTAATGTTCATCCTTTGATAGAAGAAAAGGTTAGATAAATCTCACATTTTGTTTCTACTTTTGTCAGAATCGCCAAGAATTTGGGAGCCGATGCAAAAGCTGCAGTGTGCGCCTTGATCAAGACTTTTCTGTACTCTGGAATGTTTACCGGAGGAATGATCAGATGGTTCTGTCGCTAACCTTGTCCATCACAAGAAAACAAGCTCAACAGAGGGAACAATTTTATTGACCTTATAACTATGGATAGCAAAAGTAGTATTTGTTTGGCAATCTCTTCTATTTCGGGGTGTTTTTTCTTTTTTTTTTTTTTTTTTTTTTTTTTTTTTTGAACAGTGTACGGTAGAGAAGCCAAATTACAAAGTGTTTGTTAACGTTTGTTGCGATTGAACCGATTCCGAAAAAAAGGCCAAAATTGAAAGGCAAAAAATAATGCTTCCGTTTGCTTCCACACCATAGCAAAAATACTGTTAAAAATAAAAATAAAAAAGAGATAAAAAAGACATTTTTAACTAGCAATGCTTTTTAAACATGTTTTCATGTTTTTGCTTCAAAAAATCTTACAACAAATATTCGTTACCAAATAAGGTTCCAAATAGTATTGATTCTATTAGACACATTCAAAGCAGAAACATTACTCTAACTTTGAGTCAAAGCAACTGTAGTTACTAAACGGACCTAACAGAATTAACAATGTTTTTGCAAGCAACCACGGCATCAAGTTTGCCAAGTCCATCCAACATGTATTTAGAAAAGCAAAGAGCCCCGGCCATACCACATTTTACATAACCTAATTAGTGGAACTTGGGTTCAATTTGATCCACAATAGGTAATCAGAAAACACTGCTGGATTGTGTTCAATGCTCAAACAATGTAGATCCAAACTTATTTAACAACCAATTAAGTCCATATCTACCTAAATGTTGTTATTAGCTGTGAAATGAGTATGAATCTATTCAAGGAGTTGAACATTTAGGAAGAAGAATACCCCAAGGACAATTTTACAAGTATATAGTTGTTTCTTTTTTGTAAAATCTGAGTATTACAAGACTAAATAAAGGTATTGAATTCGATCCATAAGTTTGGGATCCTTGAATCAAACAAGGCACACATGATGGCGTTGTTGCAATAAACCTAAAATTGAAAATGTGATCCAAAATCAGATCTTCCCATTCAAATACACACGCACACACAAATATATAATATCTTCTATGGGTCAAGTTTCATATATATATTATACATATATATATATATATATTTTTTGGATTTCAAATTTCACAAAAGTAGAATTAGAAATCATCTATTTATATCATCACCTACTTTCATGCTGGTCCAACCATCTCCCATAATTTCTAATTCTATTCTTTCTAGTCTATCGCACACCTATCTTAACACTTGGATTTCTGTCCCTCACTTTATGCATATTTTATTTCCTACCTACCCAACGTTACGTGTCACAAAGTATGACTAGTCTAATAGCTGCTCGATAGAACCTTACTTTCAATTGTAATGGGATATGTCATAGACAATATATTAGATGCACCCCTCTATTTAACTCATCCTATTTTGACTCTATAATTAATGTCCTCTCCAATTTCTCCTCCATTATGAATAATTAATTGACTCTAAATAGAAAAAATGTTCACTTCTTTTGTATCTCTCGATTCTTAATCCACACTACATTCTCTTCGTATTTCTAGATTTACTAAAGTTACACTCTATACATTAAGTTTTATATCTATTTATGTTAAACAAGCTTCTCTCCAAACCACTAATTTGACATTAACTACTTATCTAGTCTCATCAACAAAAACAATATCATCGGCAAATAAGATACACCAAGAAATCTCATTTTGGACGTGTCTTGCCAAACTCATCCGTAACCAAGGCAAAAAGGTATGTGTTTAATGCTGATCCTCGGTATAAGTCTACAGTAATTGACAATTCACTTGTTTTCCCTACAGGGTTCTAACAAAAGTCACACAACCATCATTCCTTTCCTCCAAAAATATTATTTCATATATATTTGAGTACATATATATATATATATTTTGAGTTCTGTGCAACAGGACACTGCAAGCCTTGTGAGCGTGCGCATGGAGGACATTGGAATTGTATATTGGAGTCTTTCATAGTCATTGAAATCTCCATATATAGGCCATAAATTTCTTTATTCTTAATCTGTTTATTTTATGTACTGGTTTAATATTTTATATTGCTTTATTTATGCTATTTATATTTTGGTATGATCATATTATGTTATGCATAAGTGTTTGGTAAAACTAAATTATGATATAATTATTTGAATTTTATGAATAAAATGTGTAAAATCTCCAACATATTGTACACGTCAATGAAAAAATAATTCATTTATATATATATATATATATAAGAATTCTCCACATTCGGTTGGCAGTAGCTGACACAACCTTAATGTACAAGAGTATTCTAGGTTCATTATTCAACTTCAACATAACCATTAATCTGTTAAAAGTTTAAGAAATTGACAGTGAGTTACTCTTCATTGTTATACCTCTAATTTACTTACTAATTATAAAAAGTCCAAAGTTCTATAAAATGGTTATGTTAACAAAGATAGCTGAAATATAATTAAGGGTATAGTGCATAAAATCCTCCTAAACTATTGTTCTTTTGCAAATAATCCATCTAAACTAAAAATTGTCCCCTTGAACTATTGATTTGTTGCAGTTAAGGACAAGCTCATCGTAAAAGATTATTTTACCCTTTCTCATTAAATTTGTCGATTCTTATTAAATTATTTTTATTATTTTTTCTCTTATCTAAATGTTAATTAATACTTATTTACCTTAATTTAATTATTAGTATTGATTTATTATAAAAATGGAAAAAATTAAATAGATTTGTAATCATATTTTCTAATATGATTAACTTATAATTAAACTATACTATTTATAATAAAACTTCTTATACCCAATTTAAATTTTTTTTAACGATAAAAAATACCTTCTTTTTCATACAATATATTCATGAAAAATTAAGAAATTATATAAATAAAAAATACCTTCATTTTCATGCAATATATTTATGAAAAAAATTAAAAATTACTTAAATTGTTATAAAATTTTCTGCTGAAGATTTTTATTTAAAAAAATAATATAAAAATTAAAGATAAATTTATGCAAATTTAATAGAGAATCTCATCAATATAGTATGAGTTTTTTTTTTCATAATTTTTTTCAATAGGAAAAATAAATTAAGTGTAATTCAAAAAAGAAAGGGCATTATGGTAATTTAAAAAAAATAGTCTAGGCATTGGGGCATTTTGTAACCGAATGAGATAGTTCAGGGAATATTATACATGAAGTATAATTTAAGGGGCTCCTTACATGCAAATTCGGATATAGTTCAGGGTTTCTTTCTTCTTCTTTTTTTTTCTTTTTTGGCACTTTATCCAATAATTAATGGCGTTTAGTTGGTACAAAAGAATAGGTATCTAGTTCATTTTATACAGAGAAATGATACTCTTTCAGAAGAGATCGGCTCCCCCATTCGTTTTCCTTTTATAAAGGAGTGGTCAAAATTCATTAATCATCCAAACAATTTAATACAGTCTTTGAGATCCTACTTTTATGTTCAGAAAATCTTATAGAAAATGTCTGGATAACCTTTGGTCAAATATGTGACTTTTTTTTTTTTTTTCTTTCTTCTTCTTTTGTTTTTTTGTTTTTTTTGATCAAATTTTAGTAAGGCCTTCTCCTTTACTGTCTGAGCAAGAATTGTGGCTGCCCACACGAATTATTATATTTTCGTATTTGCGGAACTGGATTCGAAGAACATGTCCTTTAATCTTAGGGTATGCAGAGAAATAAAATCTATAATTGTTTCACCATTAGTTTCATTGGAAATTCTCTAGGTATAGTGAGATGGTTTTTTACTTTTAAATTGGAACTAGGAGGAGATTAGTAGGAACTTTGGTCCAAAATTAGGGTATACTTAAGGGAGTTTTCTTAGTGACAACCATGGGAACCTTGTTTCTAGACCAGCTTAAAAGGCAGGCCTCTTCTTTTCTGCATGAAAGAATCAAAACTGCTAGACTTGTTTTAACTGATGTTACTCAAGCAGAATTGTGAGTATTTAATTTCTCCCTTTATTTTATTTTATTATAAAATGATTATATATATACATATATATAGATATATATACTTCCTTGAAAATATGAAGAAACTATTAGATGGTTTTGGATCATAATCACTTGGTGGTACACTTGAATCAAAATTCATGTTCAGTTTTATATTTATATATATATATATATATATATATATATTGTAATATGTTGTTAAACTCTTATGTATCCACTTTCTTTTAGTTGAAAAAGTTGAGTAAAATAACAAATTAAAAAAGGAAAATAAAAACCTTTAAAAAAAAGAAAGCAAAACAAACAAACAAAAAACAAGTTTTGAGACTGCTCTGGAGCATGTTTCAGGGCCATATAATAATTTCTTGAATGTTTGATCACTTGACTTGGCTATAGACATGGAATAATGACATTCATACAACCTTTTTTCCCTTTATATATATATTTGCTCTTACTTTTTCACAGTAACATTTTAACAATCAATTATATATATATAAACCATCCAAAGATGATCCAAGAGGTCTTCCCTATTCAGGAAGTGCTAATTTCTCTTTCATGGTGTTCTTGCTCTAAAAGGATGGCTGAGGAAGCAACCAATGATGATCCATGCAGTCCGGATGCTAAAACAATGACTAGAATAGCCGAGGCTTCATTTGACATAGATAATTATTGGAGAATAGTTGATGTCCTTCATCGAAGGTGCTTCTGATTTTTTTTTTTTCTTAATTGTTACTCACACACACATACTTCCACCGAATCTTGAACTCCTGACTTCCTTTTGAAAAGTCGCAATCTGGTACCGCTAGGTTATTGGCCTGTTGGTAAAGGTGCTTCTGATTTAATTTTCAAAAAAAATATTATCATTGCAAGAGAATAATTTTTAATTTTTAATTTTTTTTTTTTTTTGAGAATTATAATGTCTTGCAATTAATTGGATATTATTTGTTTGGGAATATAAAATTGGGAACCTTGCAAAAATAGTTTTGATTAATCGTCGAGTTCGTGTGAGGAAAAAATGCAGGCTATATAAGATCGATTGGAAGCAATGGAGACAATCCTACAAATCATTAGGCTTGCTTGATTTCTTACTCACTCATGGTCCCCAAGACTTCTCTGAAGAGTTTCAATGTGATACAGATGTCATTGAAGAGCTAGGAACATTTAAATTCATAGATGAAAAAGGGTAATTCTTTTGCGTTATATATCATTTCAAAATGACAATAGAATAAAGTAATTTCATTGCATGTCTTCTCTAATAAATTTTTTTTTTTCATTCTTGTTCTCTATTTAGGTTTGATTGGGGTGCTAACATGCAAAAGAGATCAGAGAGAATATTAGAACTTCTACAGGGAGGAGAAGCACTTAAACAAGCACGCTTAAAAGCTCTCAAAATAACGAAAGAAATTCAAGGATTCGGTAATCCAATGTTTTCTCCTCCCTTCTCACCTTCATCTTCTACGTCGCAAGCTTCAACTCTAGGCTCATTTTCTACCAGTAGCTCTCCATGGAGTGTCGAATCTTCACCACCCACTAAAGAAGCTGGTGGAAACTTTTCAGGGGGAATTAGGAGTCTCGAAAAGCTACCGAAAACTTCAGCATATACTAAGGAGAATGATGAAGGGTTGCACCTATGGGATTTCCCTCCGATTGAAGAAACTGACAATTTACTCCATGATCCGGAAGTAGAAAAACGACGTGGTTTGATAAATGGAATTTGCTCTAAGATTGTTGGTAGTAATCCATCGAAATGTGATGGCAAGAAAGTTGCCTTGAGGAGTTTTTGTGAGGTTGGTAAGGTAAAGAAGAAAGAGATGGATAGACAGCTTCCCAATCGATATTAATAGGTTACGTACATTTTCATTGAGGTTTGACCATCGCTATTATGTGTATAAATCATAGTTATTGTAATGTAGTATGATGGTTTTCAAAGTAATACATCTTCATAATTGTTAGAAAATTTGTGTGAATGAGACTTGCCTGCAGTTGGTTCGTTTGTTTGTTCCTGCATATCACGTTAGACCACAGCATGAACGTCATATGTTCGTCTACGTTGTGAAGGGTGATATGTTGACAACATGCAAAAGTCATGTAGGATGACAGCTTGTAGTTTGAAACAGTACAACCTATTCACTCAAGTTATCGTGTTTGGTAAGACATGTAAGAATAGGCACGGACCTTGCCCATACTGAAATTTTTTTTTGGCTTTTATATACCTATTAATTTATTTTTTCTGAATTATATACCTATAACTAATGACAGACCTAGAGAATTGTATGAGAGGGGGCATGTTTAAAATTTTCACAAGTAGGGACATTTTACATATTTTCACAAAATTTATAGATAATTTTGTAAATAAAAAAAAATTTAGTGGGGGCACCTGCCCGAATGGGTCCTTCATGGTCCGTGCCTGCCTATAACATTTTTAAATTTCCCCAACTGAAATTACAAAAAAAACCCCACTCTTTCCCCCACTTCATGGTTTGAATTTTTTTTTTCTTTTTATTATTAAAGGTCCGTCCCCTCTCACATATAATTTCTGAATTAGTTTATCTGTAAGAATGTTTTCATTTTCAGTTTATAAGACGCAAATATTCAATCGAGTGGTCATCTGGTGAGGCATGTAAGAATGTTTTCAGTTTCCAGTCTAAACGATGCATATGTTGGGGGATGATCAATAATAGAAAGGATCCGTTGGAAGAAAATAGGTCCGATCACTAGTTATCCATGTGAGAAAGGTTGTGTATATTCGGGTAAGCAGGTGTTTGGAAGTGAATATTAAATCAACAGACACATACTTGCATCCCAATCGAAGAGACACCCCCAATCCGAAAAGGATTTTCTACGCCTATAAATACCCCAGGCTGCCATTTGTAAAATTGTTCAATTCATTCTTCTCTCATACACTCTCTCAACAAGAACCCAACCCAATTGGGTACGTGTGGGTTCAAGTCATATGATGTAGTGGTTCAAACTATATGGACTCAAATTCTATAATTGTTGTTGTACCGGTACGGTCATTTGGTTAGAGCCAACTGCTTAGGATCAAACTCAAACCCAACTCATTATTTTGTAGTATAGATGCATTTTGAGTCAAAGAGTGTAATGCATGAAGGAGGTATATCGTATCCACTAGTTTGGAGTTATGCTATTAGTGGATAGAGACAGTTGTATCCAACAGACAATCATTGTAGAGTCCATCAGCAACATGCGAGACATAAATTATCTTTAAGGATATATATATCAAATACTAGCTTCGGTCCAGATTCTTTATTTAATTTTTTATTTATTGTTTTATTTTGCATGTTTAATTAAATATTTAGTTGAATATTTAATTAATTATTTCTTAACATAGTTTTAATTATCTTATAACATATTAGTATAAGTTTATTAAATCTTAAATGTCACATGAAATTTATATTTTTCAAAAATTATAAAGATAGAATATATGTATTTGTAGTAGTATCACTGAAAAAAAAAAAATACAAAAATCATTTTTTTTAAGAATGTAATCTATTTTTGTTTATTAGTATACTATAACATATATATTTATCATTTCTTTAAGAATGAAACTTTTGACTTGTATTATATTTTTAAAATTTAATTTTTTGTTTGTTATATAAGGTATGGATTTTATTTATTTAATGCTTAAATATATTATTATTCATTAATTTAGTAAAAAAAAATTATAACCATGCCTTTTTAATAAGACCAAGGATGTAAAATTTACAATTAGGTCACTACTCGTGTTACATGGTCTTAGAAAATAAAATAAAATTACTAAAAATTAATAAAAATTCATTTTTGTCAAATTGTGTTGTAAAAAGTAGCATATCGACGATTTTTTTGCCTTATGCACAGGATCAAAAATAATTCACGATTGTCGTAACCAATTCCGTTATGTTACATTGATACAAACTTGAGTATGTTATATGGTGTCTGTAACAAGGGTCATTTTGTCCCACATCGGAATCGGATGGGAAAGAGATTGGGTATAAATGGGTGGGTATGCAACCTTACCTAACAGTTCGAGCTTTTGGGTAAATGGGCAAGCGCCCACCCGTTACAGTTAGTATCAGAGCCAAACCCAGTCCTTGATCCGGTGCCACGCCAAGCGCTCGGCCCGGAAGGCGTCCGGGTGAGTCCACCCGGGTAGGCAGGGTGGCCCAACCGCAACGAGGGCGTTGCGAGTTTGGGTGGGGGAGAATGTAACAAGGGTCATTTTGTCCCACATCGGAATCGGATGGGAAAGAGATTAGGTATAAATGGGTGGGTATGCAGCCTTACCTAACAGTTCGAGCTTTTGGGTAAATGGGCAAGCGCCCACCCGTTACAGTGTCCGTGTTGGCAACAGCATTCTGACTATGAACCATGGTTTGGAATAGGTCTTGTGGTTTTTATTCAACGTGTATGTTCCATGAAAAATATCCTCTTTGAATGTTTTGATTTAATTATTTTTAGGCTTTATGCGCTAAACCTCCCAGCGGTTCAAAAAGGTTGCAAAATACTCCTCTCTACAATTTTATTTTATTTTTTTTTGTGGCAAAAAACACCCATAATGTTCCTAACAGTTGCAAATTTTGACCAACTTAAAACTAACTATCGTTAAGGAATGATATAAAATTACATAAATGCCCATAAATAAAGAAATATAACATATATATGTGTGTGGGGGTGCGTATAGTTATCACTTTGTAGAAGTTAAAATTCTTCATTAGTAGTTGTTTTTGAATTGCCTCATTGTTTCACTCTTTCCAATTGCTTTTCTCTTGGACCCATTTGTTTGAATTTTGATAGGAAAAAACAAAGATGGGAAAGAGAGAGAGAGAGATCTCTTGGACCCATTTGTTTGAATTTTGATAGGAAAAAACAAAGATGGGAGAGAGACGGAGAGAGAGAGAGGATGCGATGCCATTTCAAGGACCATTGTTCTGGATTGACGTGCTTTTTGGCTACATTAATTCCTAAAAGCAATGCAAAAAAGATACTAATAGATCTGAAATTATTTTATTGCATTGATTCAAAGATGGGTTAAGTGCAAAAAATCTCTCTGTAACATAGGTTATGTACACAATTAGTTTCTCATTTTTGAAAATATGTATTTCAGTCCATAATGTTTAAAAAATGTGCAAATAAGTCCCTCTGATCACTTTTTGACAAAAAATAAATCTAAAAATCTGATTTTACCATTTTTGTTCCTATTTTGCCTTTAATCTTCTTCTTTCTTCCATCTCTCTCCTCTCCACCAAGGAGCCGCCTCCTCCCACCACCATTACAGGCCACAACCCCCACCACCATTCCTCAACTCCACCATCCTCTAATCTAACCACATCGTCGAATTGTCACACCCCAAATTTTAATACAAGAACTACTTGTCCTGCATAAAAAAAAATCTAAGGTATAACTTCCATCAATTCTCAACATACATCCTCCATAATAGAACTACAATGAATCCCGTCATTCAACTTAACAAACATGAGAGTCTGACAAATTTTATACAAATCCATAAATAGAGGTGCAATTCCCTCTAGTAAAACAGAACATCTATGACCACTGAATCAACTCAATAAAGTTTCATAAAACATTAACTTTATTACAATAATCAGAATAAAGGAAAAAAACCAAGCTAAAATAAATTAATGCGCAACGAGCTAAAATCCGTTCCCATCATGTAATCCCATCACGTTCCTACTCAACGTGTACCTGAAATGTGATAATGGGGTGAGCTCACAAGCTCAGCAATAAATGCTAAACACAATCATCGTTCAGCAAATTAACCTTACCTTATATTCCTGTATATATAAGCAACTCAAATAAGTTCATTATTCAAATGTGTATAACCCAGTTAGTTATAAACTTAATAAATAACCATCTTTTATTTTTTTATAAATCGGCATATCTCACATGAGCCCCGGGCTCCCGTCCAATAAAATGGTGTGAATCGTATAGTCCCTGACTACCAAAAACACACGTGTGGCTGGATTGTACGTCTACTCCCCAGATGATCCCTGATCACGTCCACACAATAAGGGCTCATTAGACCCATGGCCATAACAAAAAGGTAGTGCACTCCCAAATAGGTAGGTCCCTGACCATACCCAAGAGTCATCATAGGGTCAGTCCCTGACTGCCCTCCGACTAATCCAAACTCATCATTATTAATTATAGTGAATTATGAGAGATATCATTAATTAATATTTCAAATTATTAGTTAATGCACCCAAATACACTTTTAATTTAAAAACAGTACTCTAATGACCCAACCACTGAGAGTACCAAATTCTGGACATACCCCAATATTTTTAGAATAATAATATTATTTTTCCTTATTTCTTTTAGTTTAAAAATCAATTTAAAAGAATAATAATAAAATATAAAGAAATAGTATTCTATTTTATTTCCTTTAATCAAATAGTATTTTATTTCAATCTGTTTTCAATATCAATGAAATATGAAAAAAAAAAAAAAAAAAAGAATAACTTGCAATCTAGCCATCACGTGCGTACAAGTCACTGTAATTAGGGACTAAACTCACATGTATAATATATCAAATAAACATATGTATAAACATATGCCATTGATGCATACATTACCCAGTCCTGCTACATGATTAACATGAACCAAAGTAATCATGTATACAATGCAATACTTTATATATATATATCAATCACAGACAGACAAAGTCTCTAAACTCAATTTTCGCAAGTTATATATATATAGAGGTATGAAGGACCAAAAAGTAAGAGTATTCAATTTGGTTAATATTAAATCATATAAATATCCTAATCATGTTACAATAGTACTGCCAACTAGTAGACATGGCTCAGTTCCTAATTCACATGTTCGTATCTAAACATATATACATATATCCATATAAAGATGCTTGCTTTCATGTACATCCCTACAAGAATTATACATACATGTATAAATGTATATATATAGATCCAGAGTTTATATACATAATACACAATTTATAATTCTATGATCTAGTCCTCCAACCATATCTCATAGATTACATCAGACAAATAGTTCATAACAATAACTAAATATTAATAATCATTCTGATTGTTTGGGTGGGACCAATAAATCGTAGCTTGTAA